AAAAAAATAGTGTCTGCTTTTGATTAATTTTCACTTGAGTACAAATGTGCAAAGTTTCGGTATAGTCGGCTCCTTATTTTTGGGCAACAAGTCTTTTTGTTTGCGTCCATTACCAGTACTTTTCTACTATTATAATTTTTATTCAAGTATTTTTTATTTTACAAACTCCTTCACATTTCCCATCTTATATTTTTCATTTTTAAACTATAATTCTATAAACTTTATATTTAAAAAATTATAATTTTAGACGGTGCATGTGGCGTGCCTTTCCACACGGTCAAGTACTACCTAAAGGATTGGCCTGAAGGTGGGTACAGCACGGCTGATAAACCAAATCCTCGAGGCGAGGTCTGCGTAGGAGGTGATGTAATTGCTCAAGGCTACTACAAAATGCCTGAAGAAACAGCGGCCTCTTTCAAGGTGGATCCCGATGGAACCAGGTGGTTTGAGAGTGGAGACATTGGCGAGGTGTTGCCGAATGGCACACTAAAAATAATCGGTAAGTACGTGATTGTAAGAAGCATTTAATTTCAAATTTAAATTTTAAAGACCGCCGAAAGGATCTTATAAAGCTTGCTAACGGCGAGTTTGTCTCACTGGGCAAGGTTGAGTCTGCGTTGAGAAGCTCTCCGTACGTTGAAAACATTTGCGTTTGTACTGATCCGTACAAAAATCACATCACTGCGCTCATCTCACCCAATCGAAAGGCCATAGATGAGTTGGCAAAGAAGCTAAATAAAGCTTCACTTTCTTTTGAAAAGCTGTGCAAAGATGAACAGGTGATTACCATCATCAACAAGTCTTTAAAAAAGTGCAGTGATGAGCTGCAGTTTAAGAGGTTTGAGGTGCCAAGAGTGATCACCCTAACCACTGAAGAATGGACGCCGGAGAATTTGTGAGTGACAGCAAAAAATATTGTTTGCGGTTTTTCAATCATCATTTCTTTTCATTATGCAGCTTGACAGCGGCGTTGAAGGTGAAACGGAGAGAAGTGACAGCTTACTACCGTGAGCAAATAAATCGTATGTTTGAGCAGACAACAGATAATTAAAAAAATACTAGATCATCATTACTTTGCCCTCTTCTTCCACGACCCAAACCTGAGTAATCATTTTGGCTTCGGTTCACAACGACTTTCCCATTTTTTCTGCTACTACTGAATGTGAAAGATTTTAGCCCCTGAGTAGTTCAGTCTTGCTCTCAAGTAAATTTTGCCACACATGTCATGCATCATTTTTTATTTTTGCATCAAAAACCATTTTTGTCTGTAATCTAATCATCAAGTGATATAAATAAACATTTTTACTCATACTACTAGTACCTTCTTCTCTTACAACCCTGCTCAAAGTCCAAATCATAAACTGAATTGAACTGTCTGCTATGTTCAGATTTCTCCTCAAAACTTATCAAATGCAATCATCTGAAAAACTACTCCTCCCCTCATAAGACCAATTTGAGTACATTAACTTCTGTTGTCAATGCTACAATAACATAAAGCAGTGTCATGGCTTTCAGACATCGCCAAAACACCAGCTTCCAGCCTACTACTAGCGCAAGATGCAGTCCAAGTTCCTGACCAGTTTGTCTCTGCTGCCAGTGAAAGCTCTCGTTACCACGTTCACATGGTCAACACTGCCAGTTTATGCGGCATTCCAACGTCCATGGCGCCGTCTAAAACTTTCCCGAAGCGGCAGTGACCTGGTGACCACCATCGACGAAAAAACTGGCCGGAAAATCTACTCGAGAAAACCTTTAAAGCATTTTGAGCACCCCTACCTCAGTCGATACTCTTTCAATGAAATTGTCCCCCTGCTCGATCGCAGCTGGCCAGTGCTCGGTGAGCGGGCAGTCATCAGCGAAGAGGTGCAAACTGATCCAATCACTGGGAAAGTCATCAAAATTGACGGCAAAGAGCTGAAGAAGGTGCGTCTGGCGGACGATTTCCACTGGTGGACGGTGGGCGAAGTTTTGGATCGCGT